ATTTGTCGACAAGAAAGATATATCTCTCTTGTCATGCCATTTTGTAAATACGAGTTTGTCTCGCTGAGCTCTGACTTTCTCGCCTTGGCGAAGCTTGTTGTTGGAACATGGCGGTAAGTCTTTTCGGTTGCACCGAACAGTTCCACAGGCATATGTGTTTTGAGCAAGTAAATGTTCCATCAAAGTGGTGCTGGTAAAAAAGTTGTCGAAAAACACATGTCTGTTTTTGTTAAGAAATGGCCTTGCCATTTTCATTACTACATCGTAGCCAAGACCATGTAGATGAGCTTGATTTCCTTCCTGCCCGAGGTAAACAGCAAAGTTGGTGACGTAGCCATTTTGGGAATCGGCGGCCATCCAAACTTTTATTCCGTATTTTGTTGGCTTTGCAGGCATGTACTGGCGGAAAGACAGCCGGCCTTTAAAAGCAATCATTGCCTCATCCACGGACAAATTTTTGGAGGGCTCGTACGCGTTTTGAATATTATTCAAAACGATGGAAAGGATCGGGCGAATCTTGAACAGCCGATCAAAATTTGCGTCGCCACGTGGCGGCTCTGTTTCGGAGTTCGTAAAATGTAAATACTGGCTAAGTTCTTCGAAGCGGTTTCTCGCCATGACGCTTTGGATGCCTGTATTTCCAATAAAAGGGTCTGTTGACCAGTACATGGCAATTCGAGGGAGGTTGTTTATGCCCATAATAATACAAATGCCGAAGTAAGCCCTCAGTTCTTGTTTTGTTATGTCCTTCCACTTTTCGAGACGCGGGGTGTTTGCTAGCTTTTGCCGAGCATATCGATTCGTCTCCGTCACGATTATATCCATAATGGAGTCCCCAAATAGTTGACTGAAGAAGTCGTTAGCCGATACGTTGTCAGGAACGTTAAATTTCATTTCTTGTCGGCCGCTAAACTCGTCAATATCAAAATCCTCGAGTTCATCTGACCACTCGATCGTGTCACTCGCATTCGAGTCGTTGTCGCTTTCGCTGTCGCTTTCATCCTCCTCTAAATCACTTTCTACTTCCTGAACATCAATATCAGATCCATCGGAATCTGCTGTATTATTTTTTTCTTCTCTATTATTATTTTCTTCTTCTGAACTACCAAAAATATCGTGATATTGCTCAGCACTTATAATCGAAGGTACCGCCATTTGTCTCGCACGCCGAAGCGGTGACGAAAATTTAGCCGCTCCACACTCCTCACAAGATCAAAAATTATATGCGCAGTTGGGTGGATTTGATTGGTTAATATCTCTTTTAACAAAAGGAGAACAATGCAGGACAATAAAAGTATCTCTAGGGACGGGACGGACAAAAAAATCGCAAGCGAGAGGTCATACGGTACACTTGAAGTGAGCTTTACTTTTAACATGGGCCTGAATGGTAGTACGTCTAAAGGCATGGTTTCCAATGAACAGGGAGCTAGATTTGTCAGCAATTTCGGGAAAAGAACAGAAAATTTTGCATTTTATGGTGTTTTTTTCTTCATCGTGTACAAGCCAAGGAAAGTCGCGCTCCCATGACGTTTGGTATTTTCAATCTCGTTTGCTTTTCCCAGCAAAGACTTCTGGTTGAGATTCAACTTTTCTCTTGTCTCCTGGCTCCTTAAGCTTTGTAGAATTTAACTGTTGTGTTGCTTGGCTGTCCTCACTTTTAGTGACTGTGTCCAGTGACTTCCGCGTTAAACCAAAACGAAATAAACTCATGGTTGCTCATGAGGCCGCATCTTTGTTTGTTTGGTAGTTCCTGGCAAGTATGTTAGAGGACTGGGTATAAACTTACCGATGAATACTTGCTCGTGAAGAAAAACATGGCGGAAAACGAAATACTCAATGTATCGGCGTAAGGACCCGTCAGTGTTCTTGTTTTTCATTCTCGTTCTATGTTCACCTGACTAAAATTTCAAAAAAGGGAACAGGTGATTTTGCTGCAGCTGTTGGATTTTATTCTTGTCCCAGCGGCTCGAGTGTTATCCTTAACCACCTGCCCAAACGGGCAACCTGTACAGCTTACACACTCGCCCAACGCATCATTCTACTTGCCCCGGGCAAGTGGGCAAGCGTTAGTGTCGAACACTGGCCGAGCAAGCAAGACGTTGCATGCATACTGGTACATAAACATTACCACTTATTTTATACCTTAATTTATGTCACAACAAAAAGGCAAGACAAGGGAAAAATGACTTGTGAAGCAATGTGCTACTATACTGAGAGCCCCAACTGGATCTTTTTGATCAACTGAGTTTTCTGGGTAGTTGATCAGGTGTCCAGAAACCTCGGAGGATACGACCATGTTTTAGTTTGGAGCCTAAAAAAGTAATTAAATGAAAGAAGCAGATAAAAAGAGAAAAACAAAACGAAACGAAAAAAAAATTGCGCAAAAAAGAAACATGTTACACGATTAAAACCTTCGTCTTACCAATGACATACCAGGTCTTGTGGTTAGGACAGTCCCACAACTGTTTGGCGTTGAATGACTGTTGTTAGCTGTTACTTTATTGAAGTTAAGATAATTGTAATCAGCGGTAAATGAAGCCTGGTGCAAGAAAAATCATTCCAAGAGACACTGATAATTCCACTCCACCTTTGGGTTGCTTCCTGTTTTTGCTGTGTAGCCCTAAACTCGAAGTGTTTCATGAATGTATGCCAAGTTTCTGTTTTTTTCTGGCCAAATAATCGTGATAAGGGCATCTGTAAATAAACGAACACCAAGAGAGTGTAATATCCATGATTATGAAGAGTAAAGATGTAGTACTGAACATTACAATGCTATCCCCAATGCATAAATGAAAGCTTTATTCATGTCCACACAAGGTAATATTTACATTTGTATTATGAAAGGACAAGACAATAATATTATTCTAAAACTATCATTCAAAACTGTATATAAATGCCAGTAACAAATGTTAATATAAATAAATACTACTCTGAAAAACCCAAGTCCTATCTGTAATTGTACCTTCACATTCTGTTTAGCTTGATTTGCTTTACTCTCCTCGTTGCAGCGCAGATCAAGGCCCCAAATTCTCTGTTGCGCCCAGAGAAAAAAGGGTTCTAGAAAGTAAGTGTCAGGTGAAGCTGGGGGTTGGTTGCAGTTATGGACAGGCTGTGGTGGGAACCACCACATCTTAAGGTCTTTCTTTATCTTGGACTTGCCAGTTGAAGGGTTGAAATGGTACAGTGCTTTGCTCATCCAACGTTGTTGCTCAATCGGTAAGGTCTCTTGCCAAGCTTTGGGAAGAGCAATTTTGTGCAAAAAGGGTAGATGTAAAAGAAGAATGATAATATATAAGAGCAGTGTAGGACTTAGTTCAACCAGGTCCAGGACTCCACTGTATGTTTTTGGTTCAGTGGAAAAGTCGGTTGACACAGCAGCTGAAGCGCGGTCAGCATTCCACCTAAACAATCCCTCTAGTAAATATGCGTTTTCAAGCACTCGTTCCTAGAAGCAAGAGTTAGTGTAGAAAGGAAAATGGATTGCAAATTGTACAAAAGCCTGTTAATATCTATGGAGTAATTCCAATAAAATTGTATTAATATTAAATTTACAGTACATGTACCTGGTATAAATTGGTTGTAGTGGAGATAAAATGATTCCAGTGCAGTTGATCCCCGGGCACATCTGTATACAGGCAGCTCAACACCTCCCTTTGTGACCACTCCTGTTTTTGTATATAGCTGTACTTCATCAGGATCCTGGATACATGTAATGTGCTTTTCCTGAGATTCCCAGATATCCCAAATTCGGTCAGCATCCAAAAGTGGTTCTCCGAGAGTGTCACATCCTTGCTCACCTTGAAATGTATCAAGTAAGTCATGGATAAGCTGAGTTGCTTCTTTTATACCACGGGTTTTTCTGCAGCAGTGGGCGGCAAGCTCTTCCTTGCTGATATGTTTGATTACATCCTCGTCACTTGGATCTTTCACTCCACTCCTTGTGAGTTCACAGTGTGGCTCCGCTCAAAGATACATTGGGAAAGACGACCCTGGAAAATGGCATACATTGGATGGGACTCTGTAGTGCAACCAACAGCAGTGTGTCGCATAAAGTGCCATATGTTGAGGGATATCACCATCTGTGACCACTGGGAGAAGAGATCTTTTGTCTTCACTGCTGTACCTCCACAGCAGTCACAATCAACATAGAGAACTTTAGGTGGGAGTACACCCCATCCAAGTATCTCTTCATGAGGCCTGCTACCATTGGTTGTAGTCCCACTCCCTCACTAGCAGTAAGGACACTCATCAGTATCTGCCCTCTCTCATTTGCAACATTTGTGGCCCAGGCTGCTGTCCCAGTAATGTGTCCTGCCAACGTTTTAACAATCTTCTTGGTGGAATCCATTTTAATTATTATCCCAAAAGTGGATGTGATTCCAGATTTAACTTCCTCAATGCGTGGCAGAATATCTTGGACATAAGCAGTAAGGAACCACTTGTAGGACGGCAGGGGAATGTACTCAGGCGCATCTTCAAATCTGGGGCAAGTAATTAAAGGCCAATATTAGAAGCGTCCCTGAAGTGTTTGCAATCATTCAGGTACTGGATCATACGTACAAGCCACCTTTCACTGTGCTGTTCTGTTAGCTTTCTCTGTAGTTGGGTGGCACTATTACCTAGGCCTCGTTGTCTCAGCAAGCAAATGACCAGGGAACAGCAACTTGTGCCCCATGTCCAGCTAGTTGACAATTGGGCCACTCCAGCTTATATTACCTTTTAAACAGAATAAAAACGAAAAGACAGCCTTGACAGACGATGGCAACTGCATTTATTAGCAATGCATGGACAAAATATAGCAGACACTCCATAGGGCTTTGGACAAATATGTTATTGGTTCTAAAATCTTAACCTGGATTCAACTGCGATATGTAACAGATGCATTGGAATAGAACAGAGACAGTACGTTATGGGTGCAGTTCTTTGTTGAGGCCTCAAATGTAATAAATGACCCTAAATGTAATAAAGGTCCTACGTGTAACAACTTTTGACCCTAAATGTAATAAAGGTCCTAAGTGTAATTCTTTCAGCTTTTTATATGCTTAGGGTCATAAGACGATTTCACAGCATTTGCTTTTAGCCTTATTACAGGCTAACTGAGTGCCAGAATGTGTCTAGGGAATATCAAACACTAAATACCCCAGGCAGATCCCCTATATAGCCATTTGAGTAACAACTTATTAGTCAGTTATTGATATCATTATCACTGTTATTTTTATTGTCATTATTAACTGAAAAGAGTGTTTAATCGAAGTGAAATGTAAATAGTCCTTTGACCGAATAGTGATTAATTGTAAATAGGTTTAATAGGTAGCATTGTTATCAATAATACTACTTTAACGGCAACTTGAAAACAGAGGTCCATGATATGAAGCAAATTTTTTTAAGAACTCTTTATTGTCGAAAAAGGACTGACGTTATCTTAAAACTGTAACAAAACAAAAGAGCCTCGTTTATTATAGCAAATTTTCGTAAGAAAGTGTAACTTCATCCATTGGATTGGACTAAAAAAATCTGTTTCATAGGCAAAGGCCAAAAATGTCACAATTGCAGCCTGTAGTGCCACCATGATTTCTAATCTGAGTCAATAACACAACATCCGCTAAACTGTTTTTACTTTGTCTGTTAACAAATAGGTGCAAGTAAATGTACTTTAATTGCTCCCTCGTCCTTTCCACATTTACATTTGTAACATAAAACCAGGTTCCAACCCCAGAAAACAACAGCTCAACCCCCACGCCTTTATCCATCTGGGGCTGGCTATTATCTCTCTGTATTATCTCTGTATGGGCCAAATTCGTTGCACTAGTGCACAAGCTGAAACAGCCACTTCGCGCAGTGTCGCGATTGTTGTAGCTTATTGGTGGTAGCCGACAAATATAACGCATTGTGAGTTCTTTAAACAGTTCACCAAGCTGGCAAAGGGAATTATAGGTGATAATAATACTTATGTCAGTTCCAGTTAACGCGAAGTCTATTATTTTGTCGAGTATTTCATTTGGAAGTTGACTGGTTGGACCACCATTATCATGACAATCACAATTCACATTTTGTTCTTCTTCCTCTTCTTCTTCTTCTTAGCTCTAAAAAAGATTTTGGGTCTTCAAAGTAGAGTTCCTTATATACTCGCTAGAAAAACAGGAAAGCCAGCTGTTATTTGAAAATGTCATTTCATTCATGTGGTGAGATCCTAGAACAAACGTTAGCATAAAAATTCACTGCAAGAAGTTCTCCTGGTAGAAATTAAAATCAAAGTCGGGAAGTCAGAAAAACTATAAAGATATACTGCCCTTAACATCTTGCTGTTTATATGTAACTTGGTGTTCACAGCTTTCTGTATGGACCGACCGACATACTCTTTTGGAAAATGGCTAAAAAAAAAAAAAAAAAAAGCATTTCTTTTTTTGGCGCAACATTAAGAAACCCCATGGGCAAAAGTAGTCAATTTACCACGATTGTTTCTAACGAGCATTAGTACTTCCTTCAATTACTAAATTACAACTGTATTTTGAAAACTTTTGTGTAGATTCCATTTGTTTATAATTCGCGTTTCACGATGTAGGGATGTAGTAGGAGACACGATCGAGACGTAGTTAAGTGTTTCTCCTACTTCTTGAGCGCTCTAGGGGCTTTCTAAGTTAATGAATATCTATGAAGGCTACAATAGGGCAAAGAAAGTGAATCGCCAGCTGGCTATAACATTAATATCGTCGCATGTTTCAGTCAAGGACTTTATCAAGCTTCGGGCTGTTATACTACATACATGTATACTGTTAAGACTTCTATTATATTTAAGGCTAAAACCTGGTGACATATATAATTAGACCCTTTATTATATTTAGGGCCAAAAGTTATTACACTTAGGACCTTTATTACATTTAGGGTCATTTATTACATTTGAGGCCTCAATATCTTGACTCCAGATACTCAGCTGCCAAGTTGTAATACCCATCGATGGCAAGTACTTGCCGAATGTTTGGATAAAGTCCAGCACTAGTTAGTTCTTTTTGTGCACAGCCAGAGTGGGGGCAGTATATCTTTACACGCCACAGTTCTCTTGGCATCCACAGGAGAAGAGGCTGTGAAAATTATCTCTGTGGACTATGGCTCTCTGCACTTACAAGGAGAGGTTAGGGTGGATACCACCATAGCTTGTCAAGCCTGTCAATAAACACAAATAATTATGAGCACACCACACTGTATGTTAAAAATTATATATTATAAGTAATATTTTTAGCAAACTTATAAATAAATTTTCAATGATAGTGAATAAATTTTAATATAAATGTACATAAATGTAATGTTCCTTGCTATGTCCAATTCTGGTTTGCCAGTTTTTGTGTTCACCTTAAAGAGGGCTTTTGACACCCACGCATGGTCAGCTTTAGGCAAACTTTGCTTCCAACCTAGTGGGAGTGGCTTTTCTGCAAAATAAAAATAAATTTATTGTTATTAGATTCCCGTAAGTCTTTCATTCACCAACTCCAAAAAGTCCGTGCAGTACAATGAACAAACCATCCGACACATGTGATAATAAAAATTGTTAGTAAAATTCAATAATAGAAGCACAGACCTTGGTTGGGATTTGACGTAAGGGCAGACCTCACAGGATGTGGATGTTCTTCAATAACATATGGAGGTTGACAACTTACCGAAGCTAAAAAGATACACATATTGTAAGCTTGAATAAATGGTAATTAAGTGACCAAAGGAAGCTTGTCTGAGATATGATGATAAAAATTATTGCTTGGTAATTTCACAACAAAATCACGAAACTGACCTTGGCTGGGGTTAGAGGCAAGTGTAGACCTCACAGAATGTGGATTTTTCGCAACAACAGATAGAGGTTAACGACTTGAAGAACCTAAAAAGATTAGTATAGTGATAAGCATTGATAAAATAAAAAAGATTGTGTACCCATTTAATTCTACTAAAGAAGAGATCTAGCAGTTAATGAAATATATTTCAATTTTTCTTGTATTAAAGGCAACCAGTGTAATCAAGGGATGAGCTGATATAAAAATACCACAATACTTATTTATAAAACAGGGTAGTAATAACAAAATCACCAGTAAACAACAACCAACTACCAAATTCTTGCTCCACTGCAGCTGCAACACGGCAAAGCTCATTATCATCTGCCTTATCTGTTATTGTAATAGCGAAGTCCTTTGACTTTGCAGGTCGGGCTGATACTGTTAGGTTTGGGGTGAACCTAGTTGCAGATTTCCCAAGGGTTCTGGCAACCTTGATAGACAGGTCCTTTGTGCTAGTTCGTCCAATTACCAGTGGGGTAAGGGATGATGCTATCACTGTGCTTGGCCTGGCACTAGTTGTTGATGCACATACAGTTGGCTTTTCTGTTGTTTCTCGTTCCACCCCCTTTTTGTCAATGGCTTGCCTGCTTTTATCAAAAGCCATTGCATATGCTTTAAAAGAAGCCTTGTTTTGGCTGAAAGCAGCAGCTGTCACTGTCTCATTTCGCATGTTGTCAACAAGCCAGGCAGCATAGCCCAACCCATTTTCAATAATCCAGTGCAAGATTTGTCCATAGAAGGCCCAAAATTGTAATACATAATCTGAAAGTACCTCAGTTTCGTCTGACACATCCCCTTCTCTTCTTCGAACTGCCTCTATTGCTTGCTTTCTTACCTGTATAAATTTAACATACCCTTATACCTGTGCATAATTTAGCGCTTTGTTTGTAAATTTTGAAAAGCTTGATGAAAAGGTTTTATTGAAATCAATATCACCTTATATTATTAATGGTGGAATATAACTTATTAAAAATAAGACTGTGGTCACGTCCTGTAGGCCAAGCCGATTAAACTTTAGTTAATTCCAAGCCCTTAATTGTGATTGGATAGATCAATCATTTAGCTTTTGAGGTTTGGAACTTGGTGTTTTCACTGTAAGGAATTTGAGGCAATTCTTGATGAACAACTAGTCTGAGCAGGTAGATAAGTATCATGTATCAATTTAAAAATTAAACGAGACTTACCTGTAAGTTGAAGTTTGATTGTGATTCTACCGAGTTACAGAATGCTGAGAGATTACATGCCCAATTTCCCTACCCTCCCCTCTGCTGTTGATTGGCGCATGTGCTTGCTATCTCATGTAATCTCTCAGCATTCTGTAACTCGGTAGAATCACAATCAAACTTCAACTTACAGGTAAGTCTCGTTTAATTTTTAAATTCTACCTCGTTACCATGCTGAGAGATTCCATGAGACTTCAAAGCAACACGGACATGAAGGAACAACAACATACCACTTTAATAGTAATATGTAAATGATACATTTTACATAGATGACAAGACTGATCTTGCATAATTTGAAGCCTTAGCTATAGGTTTGTTGTAAAAACGAGCAAAGCAGCATTCAGATGACCACCCTGCAGTTTGGAGAATGTCATCTAGATTTACAGAAGCCCTGCTTGCTGCTGAAACAGATGCAGCCCTTGTACTATGAGCTGAATATCTTGTTACATCAATACCAGCTAAAGCCATAGTGTATCGCACCCACCTAGTGACTGTATCCCTGCTTACGGGCTTATAAGGTTTAACGTAACTTATCAACAGCTGTGACTGGCCGCTAGGTCTCAATACTTTAGTTCTTACAAGGTAAGCGTAGTAACAACACAAATAGAGGGTCGTTCAAATGATTCCAGAACAACCTGAGGGTTAGATACCCCTGGTTTGCTTTGTTTTAGGTGGCTAGGGATGACAAATGTGTATTTGGCATCATTCACAAACATATGATTTATGTCTAACAAGTGAATAGTCTGGCCTCGTTGGTCTGATACTAACAACAACAACATAACAAGTTTCAATGTAAGCTGTTTAAGTGTCAACGATTCAACAGGATGAAGTGTAGCCAGGTATGTTAAGACAACTTGGACATCCCAAACTTCTGTATATTTGGGCTTGGGTGGTCGTGACTGGAAAACACCTTTCAACAGGCGACAAACTAGCGGGTTCTGTCCAACTACAGAGCCATCATCCAATGACACATAAGAAGACAATGTACTTCTAGCACAGTTGATAGCACTGTAAGTAAGTCCTTGGTCAAAAAGTTTAGAAAGGAAATCCAAGGCTGCTCCTACAGGTGGGTGAAGATGATCGACTTTCCTCTGGAGACAAAATGCTGTCCATTTCTTGATGTACCCGGAGTACTGTTTCTTAGTTCCCCCCCGCCAGGATGCCATGAGCAATCCAACAGCTGACTTCGATACTCCTCTTGTTTCATAGTACTGCCGGACAAGAGACATGCCATCAGTCTCATTTGCTTTCTCAGAGGATGTAGAGTCCCTGACTGTGGTAGGGTGGGGAGGTCCTTGTCTTGTGGGAACATTAATGGATTTGCCACAAGAAGGCTGAGTAGCCGGGGCCACCAAACCTGTGTGGGCCACACAGGAGCCACCAACAGTGCTAAAGTCTGATCCTTCTCTAATTTCTGCAGACATCTGTTAAGCAGAGAAAAGGGAGGAAAAATGTAAACAAACTGTCCACTCCAGGAAAACGAGAAGGCATCTACGTGGCAGGCTCCAGGGTCAGGCTTCCAAGAAACATATTTTGGAAGCTGGTTGTTAAGTCTGCATGTAAACAGATCAATCTCAGGAGTACCCAGTATGTCAGTAATCTTACAGAATATATCTGGTTGAAGCTGCCACTCAGTTCTCTCATTAAATTGTCTGGAGCTTATGTCTGCCTCAATATTAAGGACACCTGGCAAATGGCATGCAGTCAGCCAGATATCATTTTCCATACAGTACATCCAAACACTTTTAGCAAGTTTGTTACACGGAGGGGATTTAGTGCCCCCCATTGCATTAAGATAGCAGACAGTTGTAGAATTGTCAGTTTTAATGCACACATGCTTTACTTTTAATAAGGGCTGGAAGGATTTCAAACCAAAATAGACTGCTAATAATTCAAGTTCATTAATGTGCTTTTGTTTTTCAAATGGGGACCACATGCCTTGGGCACTTTGTCCATTGCATACCGCCCCCAGCCTAATTTCGATGCATCTGTTGCCATTTGTATATCTGGGTTGTCCATGGTGATACTTTTGCATGGTGTAGGTAGGTTAGTCACCCACCAGCGAAGCTCACTGATAGATTCTGAGGAGAGGGTCATATTAGCTTCATAGTTGCCATTATTTTGTTGCAAAGCTGTATTTTTGTCAATTTCAAGACTCCTGTAAAAAAGGGGTCCATACTGGACAGCAGGCAAACTAGAGACCAGAAGTCCAATGACCTGGGCAACTTCTCTTATAGAAATTATACTTTTCTTTAGCAGTTGTTGGCATGCCAAAATTATTTTCTCGGTTTTTTCTGCCGTAAGAAATACTTTCATGTTGACAGAATCTAAAAGAAAACTAAGAAATGCCAATTTCTGACATGGTTGCAACACTGACGTTTCATGATTGATCAGGAATCCTAGAGACTCAAATAGGGTTAGGGTAGTAAGAATATTACTTCTGCAGTCTGTCTTTGAGTCCTCCTGTAAATATGAGTCATCTATATTGCCCAACATTTAAGTAGCCTTGGCTACGCAATGTGCTATACACTGGTTTCAATAGTTTTGTAAAGTATCTTGGTGCAGATGCTAGGCCGTTAGGGAGACATGTGTACTGAAACAGCCTATTTCTCCAGAAAAACCTTAAATATTTCCTGTGCTCAACAGCCACAGGAACAGTGTAATATGCATCTGTTAGGTCTATAGAAGCCATCTAACAGTTTTTCTTCATTAACTGGATAGCACATGTTAGGCTTTCCATTTTAAAATGTTGATACTCTATGGATGCATTCAGTCCTTTTAGATTCAAGATCAGTCTGTAAGAACCATTTTTCTTTTTTCTGAGAAAAATTGTAGAGACATACTGACCATAACTAGGGTCAGTCTCCTCAAGAACCCCTTTGTTAAGCAATTGTTGTATTTCACCATCAATAAGTGCAGCCTCTTCAGAGTTAAATCTAACTGGAGGCTTAGGATATTGTTGATAGGGGTGTTCAGTAAACTCAAGATGACAGTGTTCAACCATGTCAAGAATTTTTCTGTCTGATGTAATTTCCATCCAGGCAGAGAGAAAGTATTTAAGCCTGCCAGCAATTTGCAACTCTTTGTCCCTTACCTCAACGTTTTGGTCATGAATTAGTTGTGGTTCTTCTGAGCAGCCTTCCTCCCCCCCTCCTTCTTGCTGAAGAGGGGGCAGCGGTAGTTTTTTGACAGCCCAGAATAATAATTATTATTCCTGTATTTGCCTTGGTATCTGTCTGAGTGACCATCACTTCGTGATCTTTTGAAGCTCTGCTTAGTTTCTCTACTAAGCTTGGAAGTGATTCGGTTGGTATCAGTAATGTCTTTTACCGCCTTGGGTAGATCATCTCCTAAAAGCTCAGTTGTTATTGGGTTTGAGGGAGCACAAAGATAGCGGTAGCTTGTGTGAAGCTCCGGTTTTAGAGCCTCCCTACGCCAGTAGATACAGAATAGCATTGTTACGCAGTAAAATTAAACTCTGTAAGTAAATTATGCTAAAAGTATTAGAACACTTAAGAGTCAGATCACCTCTGAAAATGTACTTGTGCCACACTGTGTAGTTGTAGATGACTCTGCTGGTGGATCAGTGGATGTTATTCTCGAAGAACCATGCTGACTCTGGTGGCGTGACTGAGAACCTTGAAAGAGCATAACACTGACATCAGCAGAAATCAAACAAAATTTAAAAAAAGAAGATTCATAAAACTAAATGACTGTATAGGCTAACATAAAGGATGAGAGGCCCAGTCGTGGGTACCAAGGACATTGAGAACCATTATAATTATATGTACAATACCTTTTACCTGTTTCTCTATGTTCAGTCTCTTCAACTAGCTGGACAAGGATTTCATCATCTGCTCTTTCTTGCTCCTGTTTTTTTCTCAGGTAACACTGGAGCTGATCTAGCTTGCCACCAGGATGAGAAATAGGATGATGGAGCAATTCCCTTATATACTTTTTTTGTTCATCTTGGACAGACTCAAACAGGGCTTGTCTTGTCATATGGTTGTTTGGCCCAAACGCAACAAGGACTTTTCCCTCTTTGTCATAACTATTAGTAGAATTCGCTTCAGCTTGCACAGTATTCCTTTTTTGTCTTGCTTTAATAGCAGCTTTCATTTCTGGAAACACATTAACATACCTAAAAGTATCCAATGAAAATGCATGTCAAAATTCACAGTATTATAGAATGAATATTTCTTTCAAGCTATCTTCTTTGTAGTTTATCTTAAAATGCAACTTGTCAGTTTTGAATAACTGAGAAGTATTATTTTAGAGTTAATGATAAACTACAAAAAGACAGCATGGTCATGATGTTAACACATTTTTATGTGTACATAAATTATTTCCTTTTAATTGTTACAAAGTTTTCTGCAATTAAGTCTTGATTTACCTGTAAAGAGCTTCCTTGTTGTCCCACTGAGCATCATTGGTTCTTTTTGTCTTTTCTCTAGCTTGTTCATGGTCTGCCATTAACATGACAGTCCACCCTATATCATTTTGTAAGAGCCAGAAAAAAGCTCTTGCCTTGATATTTACCAAACTGCCAAAAACTCATACTTAGTATCCACTCTTCATTGTCTGAATTGCCACCAGCCTGTATAACTCGCTCTTTTGCTTCTTTCTCTACCTGTTTAAAGAATGAACAAGGCACATTTAACTGAAGCTTTTGTTAGAGGGTAGCAAACGGGGATGTACACTGTAGCTAAGGAAAAGCTAAGCAGACTAACTTATTTATTGAGCCGGCTTTTTACTTAACTGCACCTTGGAAATTACCCCATATCTTTGTTTTCCAGCACAATTTGAGCCAGTGGTAAGCTCTCTCTCACCCAGCGAAATTTGCCGGCAGCTGGCGCTTAGCAACAACCCTGGGCAAAGGGGAGTATCTATCACATATCACACTGATTTTTTGTAGCCATCAGGCATCACATAGTTTCTCATAACATATCCAAGACACTACACCTATCGGGGAAATCTGAAGGGTAAATCACGCATCACATGTTTGCGAAGTAATAATCACACATGCCATGTCCAATCATGCATCCCGTGCCTAATTTGAGTCCTATCATTCATCACGCTAATAATTTTGTCACAGGAAACCCCTTCGCCACTGTCTTGTTATTGACATTGATTATCCATCAAATATAAATAGCCTGGTTAAGCTCTTTGTTGGTCTCAATTTTTCTTTTTGTGAAGACAACCTGAAAAATATGAACCCCTTAATAACAAACACTGCATTCCAAAAAATGAAACTCTCCACCCCAGCGAAATGTAAAACCTTTTTAACAGGATCCCCAACAGAAATGAATAATTTCATCAGACTGTCTTAGTGCTTCATCAGGGTTATACATGTACTACAAAGCTTAACAACTTGCAAGTTATAAACAACCTGTAACCTTCATGGCATCAAATTACTGTACACAGTTATACAATATATACTCCTCTTGTAATGAAATAGGCTTATTGAGTATGCCTGACAGTCATAAAAGATACCTGCTCTTTGGCCAACTTAGGCCCTAAAAGTCCTTCATTCTTCTGCCTTTTTATAAGCTCTGCAACATTTTTCGCTCTGTCAGTGCATGACCACAGTAATTCACCTGATCTATAAAACCGAAATTGAGGTCTTCTTGGAGGCAATGCTTGTTTAACCTAATGAACATGGAAGAATAAATGACTAAAAACAAACCAAGAAGAATAACTATGAATTTAATGTTTTTAGTGTTCTCAGGTGGTAATTATAAGGTCAGTATCAATCTGAATAATTGTCTAAATAAAGCTTGCTAGGGGCAACCCCAAAGCTTTTAAAATAGCTCTAAGTCAAATTAATCTTACTGAAGTCGAGTGCTTGATAAAAGGCTTATCCGAAAAGTAATGCACGTTATAACACAGACCCTCTAAAATGTCTTAATGTTAGATCGTTTGTAAAGAATAAAATAAAGTGGGCCGTTAATATTATCATGAGTATAAGCTTAGATGCGTTTTCGTAGCTAGGACTGCAGTTATAAAAGAACTGACATTCATGAATGTATAATATCATACCATATGGTTAATATCTACCACGGAGAGTCTACTAAATAATAAATAACGACGTTAAACTACATAAATGTGAGAAATCTGCTATCCAGAAACTCTACAGACTCTAAATTGGGAGAATGTTGACATATCAACGCAATGCACGTGAGAAAACAATCTGACCGGCTTTATCGATTCTAGAGATATTCGGCCGTGTATACAAGCAGAAAGAAAATGAGATATGCTAATGGAAGTGATCCTATCTATTACGAGCTCCAACTATGATTTAAGTGTTTGAATTACCTGAAACACACTAAAGAAATTTCACTCACCTCTTGGTTACCTTTCGCCGCCATCTTGGATTCCCAATTTCAATTTTACGGCTATGACGCGCTGTGATTGGCTGCTGATGTCAATTTTAAGACAATGCAGTCACTTGATTGGTGCAAAAGTCTCAAAATTGGGCTCAAAGATTGACGATTTTTTAGCGCAAAAAAAAAATTTGGTGTTCTCCTCTGTTTGAGAACTCCAAATTCCACCTGCGAACATGCGCAAATGATATGTTGGGTTTTCCCTGTTAATTGACGGCTTTTCCCCACTAAAACACGTGTAGATGTTCTCTTTGCAGGAAGTTCGCGCGCAAATGGCGCAAATAACAATTTTTAATAACTGCAATATCATATACACATAGTTTACTTGGTGAAGCAGCTTATACATAAGCAAACACTGTAAATAGTTAATTAATTGCTTGAGCTTTTATACGATTACTTCTCTTTATTTCCACTGCAGAGCAAATTAAAAATTAATGATAATTTTTCTGCTCTCAGCCAGTCACAATGAAGTAATTCCCTCAGACTCCTATAATAAGGAGGCTAATTTAACGCTACCAGCAAATAAATTAATTTCAGTATAGAAATGTTTTCTATTCATTTGTTTTGCGTCTTTTTCCCTTCCCCTGTTCTTTCAAGTTTTCCACCCATTCTTCAAAGATTTTGTCCGATTTTTCTCTACACCACCAGTTTCCATAGTACTATCTATGGTTATCAGCCAGCCGTTCTTTCCCACACTGCTTGCAGGTAGTGCCATCCTTCCTGTTGTATCTTTTTCTTTGAACGTTGCCTTCAAGCTCTTTTTGCAGCCGCTTTCTTCTGTAGGACATGGTGGATGACGGTACCTGTGGTTCGGCTGCTGGTATACCTTGGGGTTGGGGAACATGTGTTGTTGTTGATTTTGGCGAGAATAGCACTGCACCAGGGGGAAAGGGCGTTGCCTAAAGGGAGAAGGACAGCAACACTGTCGTGGGTTGATTGGGCAGGATAGTTCGTGGTCTGCGTGCTGTTTTTGCAGCGACAGCGGCATTTGTAGGAAGATGGAACTGGTGCTCTTCACTTGTACCAGTGAGAAGTTCTTGTGGGTGGGCCATGGCGGCAGGCAACGGAGCTGGTGCTGTGATAGACGGGGTTGAAAGAGTGATCCCTTGTTCCAAAACTTGTCGCTTGGTCTCCTTGGATTTTTTGTGAAACCTTTTCAACCAAAGAAAAGTGGATTTTAATGTCTATTTGGTGAATATAGATTAAAGAATACGTAGCTGATGGGATTTAATGTGGGAGTTTAATGTGTGCGCAGATAAGTGGCCGAGCTAAGAACTGAAATATTTATTTGTATTGTTTAAGTTAACGTACCACTGTGTCAATGTAGACTGATTGATGTCAACCAGCTGGATTGCCGTATCGCTCATCACCTTTGAACACTGCACTACCAGGGTTTTGATGTTTTGGTAGGCTCTCAAGATCAATGTCCACTGCAACACCCTATTCCCATTCTGGACCACGTTTTCTGGATAGGCAGCACAAAGTTTGTCGATGATAGCCTGCATATATCTGTTGCAATCAGGTTGCTGGGCAGGGCCAGCGTTTTGACCAAGGAAGCACCTGAAGCAAAATGAAACCATTAATCTTCCTTAGTAATAGAGCAAATGTTGAATACGTCTTTCTAACAATACAGCAAATTTGTAAATCTATAATGATTACCAGCGGGTAGCTTCAACTCCAGGAGCAACAGTTGACTTAAGAGGCTTTAAACCTCCTCTAGGTGACATACTTGAGAAGCATGGAGAAAATACGGTAGGTCTCTTGTCATAGTCTGACAAAGCAGCCCACAGTTTTAAAATTGTGTCTGCTTGGCCGTTCTCCAGGGGCCTTTCTTGATCACGAAGACAGACAAGATAGTTTGCCAAGTCGTGGACCTCACTGAAACCTGGACCAACGCATTCCTGTGTGAAAAAAAGAGTAAAAAAGGAAATTTATTTTGGTAAATTTCAAAGGGCTAATCAGTTATTATTATGTATGGTAGGTACTTACGCTAGATTCATCCGAGATCTCATCAGCGGCATCACAGGAAGATCCTGGTTGAGACGGGGAAGCAGATGAAGTCAACGGGGGCTTCCATGAACAAGCCTAGGGTACAGGAAAACTAAAATATACAATCAAATTTGCTGCTACAACAAGAACTTACCACTTTGTCTGGATGGTGTGTTCAGCCCCATGGAAACACGAGAAGCAGACAAGGGTGTTGTAGAAGGCGTGTTAGAGGCGAAGGATGCACTTAAAGTAGTAGAATCTGGAAAAATAAGTGGTAAGTTTACTGCCTGGTATTTTTGCTTGTAAAGGGACACAATAAATGCCTACCGTGTTGTCAGGGTGTTGTGGTAGATTGACGGGCTGGCTGGTCGATGATAAAGTGCGGTGGAGCGATTGTTGGATCGTTAAAGGCAAGGGCCTCATCAAATCCTTCATCATCTGAGTCCTCATCATTTGCATCACCACCGATGTCGTCAGTCTCAGTCGCGTCGCCCTGTATGACCTGCAGGACCTGTCCCGTTTGATCATATAGATATTCCACTCCCAGTAGTTCATCTACATTAATCAATAGAAAAATCGAGAAGCCAATAACATCAAGAGACCATACAAACTATAAACTGTATAAAGAGGGAAACAAATCGATTATCTACATACCAGTGTATTTATTGAGTCCCTTAAAGCTCGGTACTAAAGACTGCCCAAACACTTCCTCACTCAGCTGGTTTGCCACGTAGCGGAGAAGGACTGAGTAGGACTGAGGTGGTTCTCGCTTCTTCACCGTGGATACTGCCGCTCTTGAGCGGTCGTGGTTCCACCTCATCAGTCCCTCAAGGAGATAGCCTTGAAAGTGTAGGTCGCTTGCTGTATTGCCTGTGAACAACCCGTAACATGATATAAACAGTGAACTCAATACGGCAATATATTATGATAACGATTTAATATGAGCAGTTCATTGTTGAGTTATGAACACGCGGGAATTCCACTGAAACTGACCAATCGTAAAGCGCGCGCAATTCCTTTAACATTTTTTAATATCAAATAATGTTCCTATGTTAATATTCTAGAAATCTACTGCAAACGTTTACATAGATAGTGAAATCTACCTGGGATCAAGTGATTGATGTGCAGGTGGAAGGACTCAAGCGAGGTTGAGCCGCGTGCGCACCGGTACACCTTTAGTTCAACACCCCCCTTGGTGATTGTGCCAACCTCCGTATAGAGCTGAACGCCTTGTGGGTCAAGGATACAGTTGACGTGCTCTCTAGCCTTTTCCCATTCTTCCCAGATCCTCCTGCTATTGAAGAGAGGCACACCCAGCGTATCACGACCCTGCTCACCGTCGAAAAACTCTATAAGGTTTGTAATGTTACGTACAATGTCCTCGGTGCTACGGGTTGTGCGGCGGCAGTGAATCGCGAACTCGCGACTGTTAATTCTACTGAGAACATCTCTATCTCCTGGCTCCTTTATGCCTTGGCTCTCCATCTCCCTTTTCTTCGCCAATTTGAGGCGCTCGAGATCGTTACTGTCCCATTGGAAAATGCATTGTGATAGCCTAGCGATGAATGTTTGGTGTAGCTGGTGGGACTCAGTGGAGCAGCCAGTGGCTATATGACGCATGAAATGATAAATATCGAGTCGGATAAGTAGATTATCCCACTCTGCGAAAAGGGCTTTGCTCTTACCAGAGCAGCAGTCCCTGTCAACGTAGAGAAGGACCGGAGGATCCACGCTCGCATCGTTATACCGCTTCATGAGACCGCCGGCCATGTTGCTCAGCCCAGATCCTTCCTTGGCAGTAAGGACGCTAACAAGGACCTGCCCGTGTTCGTTGCCTACGTTGGTCACCCACTCTGCTGTTCGAGATGCATGACCAGATAGCTTCTTGGCCACCTGAAATAGTCACAACTAATGATTTTTCTCAGTTGGTTAGCAAACATTCCTACGTCTATTATCTAATTGTTATACCTTATTAGCAAAGTAGACTCAGACAAAATCAGACAAGTGTATCGCTCTAACCTTTTTGGTAGAATCCATCTTGAGGATTTTGCCAAATACGGAAGTTATCGAAGCCTTGACTTCGTCCATGCGCTGCAGTACATCCTGGCAATAGACGCTTTGAAGCCAGTGGAATTTTGGAACAGGAGTCAAAGCGGGTGGCTGGCTGACCGTGGGTATATTTACCAGGCCCCTAGCGCCTGCATCTGCAAAGGCCTTGCACTGGGTCAGGTATGCAATTGATTGCTGCAAATAGCGCTCGTTGTGCTGCTCTACGATCGCCTTGTACAGCTAATGGGGACCATTACCAATGCCTCTATCATGCATCATTCTGATAACCCGCACATCACACGCATACTTGTATGTGAGTATTACAGGAAATTGAAGGCGATGGCGCATATCTAGTTGGGAGAGAACAGGGGCACTCCACGCAATTACCTTCTTTCTGCAACTTGAACATTCCAGGTAGTCAGACACCAGGTGGTACACACTGTCCACATCTAGTACTCGGCGGATGACTGGGTACAAGCCGGCCGATGTCAGCTCGTGGTTAGTGCAGGTACTATTTGGTCATATCAGACGATATCTCTTAAGTTTCTTTGTCAGCCACAGAAAAAGTCTATTGCCAAAGTATCTGTCGCCTTTCGGTGGAATAGGAGATGAAAGGTGGGGTTAAGGAGGATGCCACCACAACTTATTTATCTGGCTGTAGGCTATTTCTGGCTTGCCTGTTGCAGACCATTTGACCAGTGCTTTTGATATCCACTGGTGGTCAACCTCTGGCAAGTATTTGCGCCAGCTACCTGGCAAAGGGTATTCTGCAGGTGCAAAAAAAAATTCATATACATAATTATCTGTTAGCAAACACATAACTATCATAGCTATAATTTATTTAATTAATTAATTAAAAATTAAATTAATAAAAATATTTCAGCTATATTTATTGATTTATTAGATTACTTATGTATGTATTTCTTTATTTATGATTTTTTAGTTAGTTAGTAAGCTAGTTACTTAGTGAGTTTCTTATTCATTTATTCATTCATTGATTCATTCATTCATTCATTCATTCATTCATTCATTCATTCATTCATTCATTCATTCAGTCATTCAGTCATTCAGTCAGTCAGTCAGTCAGTCAGTCTATCAGTCTATCCTTCCTCAAAGCCACCCTCATAATGACCTCCCCATAAAAATATTATATTAGAAATACTTTATCAACTTGGGGCACACCTTCAGTATAGGACAAGGCAATAGGTTGAGCAGCCGCCAACAGTTCAGCATCTGTTAATTCCTCGTGAGCAGGAAAGGAATTAGAGGTCATGGTATCCATTGAAGTGACTGTGGTGCTTTTAGTTGCGGTGACATTGGCAGTGGTAGTGGTCATGACAGTTGCCGTGGCAGTGGCAGTAGCAGTGGTTCTTTTATCCATGGCAGTAGCGGTGCTGCTTCTTGCAGATGAAACATTTGCCCGTACAATAGGACGAACTGACTTGGATGCCAGAGCTCTTTTTACTACTAATGATGGTGGGGCATTTTTGTTCAGTAATTGGGTTACAGCAGCTGCAGTCTTTGCGGAGGCAGTTTTCTCTCGTTCTTTCTGTTTCATTTGGACAGCTTCAAGTCCCTGTTCAAATTTCTCAACATATGTCGCACGTGGTGATGAAACTGTGGTAGCAACTTGGACATTTCTAGGAGAAGCAATGTGAAATCAAAGAGAAAGGCTTCCAAAACAGTTGACACACGTCTGGCAAAAAGGCACTTATTGTTTAGGCTAACCAACTGAACTAAATGAACCTACTGAGGAAAAGTAAGCCAAATATATAGCTAACAGGAAATTTTGTAGGAATAAATTTTCACCAAATTAGGCAAGGACATGAATCATAGCCTATTAAAAAGCATTTGCCAAAAGGAAATAGGTGTTTACCACTCCTACACTCTAATTATGCAACCCATAAAAAATTTGGTGTGTGAGGAAATAGAGAAATTTACAAAAATAGCAAAATGATGATTCATGAACGTGTATCGTTGAAATTAGTTTAGAATTAATATATGTGACCTAGTCAGCCACACCATACTCTCACGGTCACATAACATGATCACAAAAGGTGCAATATATAAGAGACCTGTCAGGAGTCGAACCTGAATTTCTGAACAAAAGCTGTCCAGTGTGATACCATTACACCACAGGAATTTGTTTTTACTTTTTTAGTAATTGCACCCACACAAGAACAAACAAGTACAACACTTCAGCAGAGGTCACACAACACGCACAAAGAATCACATATACTTTTCAGACAAATATTTTGCAGAGCTGTCTTTGACTGTACTGACCGGCACATTCGGCTTAATGCAAAACATATAAAATATTCCTACCAAAATTGGCGTTACAGCACGAAAAACATCTTGTAGAAATGACTTTATGATGACCTCTATAAATCCTGTAAATCAAGAGAGCAGAATAACTGAATGAATTATTTATGTGGGTGAAGCAAGAAAATTCTTCAATATAGAAACTATAACTGCAACGATTTCCTTGAATCGATTTTCACTACTTAAACTAATGTTTATTGCTTCTGTAATACAGGTAAAAAGCTCAAAAACCTACCTTTAAATGTGTTATTTCTCAACCTTCGATACAGTGTCGATACCACGAGCAATGGGGCAGAACGATAAATTATTCATGAACACGGTCTGGAAAGCCTCCGAATTTCCTGGGGAAAATATCAGCGAATGAACTAACTAAACTCGGATCTGGCTAGGAAAACAGGTGATCTAAACAGGACTAAAAGATCAGCAAGAAAAATACAGTATAACTACGTGACTTTCTCGTTCTATTTCAAACTCACAAGCTACAAAAATCCAACATGGCGGAAGGCTGTAAACAGCGCGCAATCGATTTTCCAAATATGGAAGTCCAATTTGGAACTGCAAGCGATTTGATTGGATAACGTAAGCACCGAAGATAAGATATTTTTAGGCGCAAAAAATCCCACGCGAACTTCTCTGTTGGTAGTTGCTGGTAGTGGGGATTCCCTGTGCATTCCTGGAATATCTCAGCTACAAAAGAGACGGGGCATGAAATTTCTACAAAGGCGGAGGGGATTTCTTATATTAAGCCGTTCAACAAGATTTGCTTAGAGTCTGCAAAGGTTATAATGAACAAAGACACCTCCAAACCACAGTAACACTGAAAAAATAACTGTATATTTGCTAGATTGTTCTAGAGGCAAAAATTGGACAATATTATTAAAAAATACTTACATTCTCTACAGAGAAGCTCACTTATCACTAGTAGGCTAATTTCACGCCGTTGACGTCGTTTGATTCTAGCTATCAGAATTCCTATTATTTTTCTTTCTTACTTAAATGTAGTAATGCTACTAAGGTCAAAAGAATCAATTAGCACAATGACATAACAAGCTGAATGATTGTGCTTGGCATTTAGAAAGTCTAGAATTCTGGTAGCCGTATTCAAACGATGTCATCTTGCAGCTGTCCTGTACATAAGTAAAAGGAGAACACACTGAAAAAATTGATGTGTAACTATACAACAAAATAATCACTCTTGCAAACGACGGTATTATCAAAACAATTGTGTTAAGTAAGAATATTTTGATATTGTAAGGTGTAAATATAAAATCACATATTTTTACATTTGACTCAATGCTGATCAATAACGGTAACCTTGGCAGGGTTTTAATTACAATCTATTGAATGGTGAGCCGTGTCTTTAGAAATCGGCTAATGGTAGTTTGAACATAACTATTGATTGCTTATGTTTTTTTATATTCTTTTTCTGTTTGTAAGCGAGCTCTCCAACCCTCGTAGGTTTCTGTTGCAGTTTGGGGACAAAACCAGTTACCCAATTACTGATGGTGTCCTGTGGCAGATGTTCTATCCTTCTGACATTTTGAACATTCAGAGGCCCCAGTTCTTGGCCTGTACTTTTTTAGTGGCACTGCGGACGCTTTTGCCTCCTCCTCTTTTCTCTTCCTGTAACTTTAGGTGCTAGCAGGAATTGGTACTGCAGGTACTGCAATTGTAACAGGGGTTGCGGTTACAGGCCCGAAGGGGCTCACGACGATCACATTTGCTGAATGCAACTGAGGTAATTTAGGTAATACTGAAGGCCTGGTTATCTTTCTTACAAATGCTTGGCCTGCTGTGTTGACTGGCAGATGGAAGGTATGTTTCTCTTGGTTGACACTCGGCTGTGGCAATGTAGTATTAGTGGATGCCACTGGAGAAGGTAGAGTAATACCTTGTTTGAGGACGTCCTCCTCCTGTTTTCTTGAACGCTTGTTGCACCTGGAAGGCAATCATGAATACTGACCTCAAGAACTCAATTAGAAACTCTCAGACTGAAAAATGAAGTACTTATTCTCGACTGTGTTCTGATGAATTCTGATTGAATCATTTTTGTTTTCATAAGATTACGTTTTGTTTAAATTGTTCATACAAGGGAATAAAGGTCTTCAAGGTTTGTTATTGTAACTTACCACTGAATCAACGTCGTTTGGTTTATTTCAGCAAGTTGAATGGCAGTCTGTTGTATTACATAGGCATTATTAAGTACAGCTCCTCTGATTTTCTTGTATGAATTTCCAATCAGTGTGCACCGCAATGTGGTGTTGCCACCTCTTCGTACTGGTGAGGGGAAAATGTGGGTAAGCTTTATAACCACTGCTTCCATTTATCGGTTGCAGTCAGGCCATGAAGCTGGTCCACTGTTCTGCCCCAAGAAACATCTCTTTGTGCTACTTGCACCAGAAACTACTGTGGATTTCTTAGCAGCTTTAAACCTCCCCTGTGTGAGTTGTGGCTGGTGTCGTGGATTAAAGGTAATGGGCTTTCTGTCATACTCGCTCATGTTCTTCCAAAGTGCCACCAGCTGAGAGGCTTCTTGGTTTGATAGAGCTCCATTGCAATCCCTCAAGTTTATAAGAAAGTCGGCTAATGCAGTTACCCTGTCATAGCCAGGGATGTTTCTTGGGCCCACGGAATCGTCCTCTCCAGAATCTCCTGTTGGCTCTGTAACAGTTTCAGGAAAAGGGTGGTCACCAGTGTAGGCCACAGTAGGATCTTCAGAGTCTGTGGTCACATCCTGTAGACCCAGCGGATAAAACTTTAGTCAATTCAAAGCCCCTAATTGTGATTGGATAGATCAATCATTTAGCTTTTCAGGTTTCGAATTTGGTGATTCCATTGTAAGGAATTTAAGGCAATTCTTAATGAACAACTAGTCTGAGCAGGTAGATAGGTATCATTTATTAATTTTTTTTTTATTTTCTATTTTCACTTTTATTAGAGCTTATGTCTGATTTATGGATTAAATAAGGTGTGGTGTAAAATTCCTTAGTGTATTCAAGTGGTATGTAATAATACTAACTTGAATCCCTTCATCTTCATAATCCCCATCTGGAACCTGCACAGATGTTTCATTGTCCTCGTCAGAGCTGGCTTTCTGTAGCACTTGACCAGTCTGAGCATACAAGTAGTCCACACCCAAGAGCTGTCCAGTTCGGAAAAACCATATATAGTACGTAGATATAAACGTTTATATTAAGTTAAATAATTTGAATATGTGGTAATGTTTAATATAAATAAGACACTTTGGCCTTTAACACTCCCTTCCTCTTCTAATTTCCAATAACTTGTTCTGAATGTGAATATTTTTGGGAATCTCACATTAAAAAAATGAATGGAATATTTGCAATTACCTGTATACTTATTTGGTCCTCTGAAGTTTGCAAACAGCTTTTTCCCTAGCACATTTTCACTTATTTGTTTACGGCAGAAGTCAGTGCAGAGTCATATGTGGGGGCTGAATTAGCTTCCGTAACTGCTGCCACTTCTCTGTCTCGGTTCCATCTTGCTGCAACTTCCAGCAAGAAGGCATGAAAGTGCAGATCATTTGCACTAGTACCTTAATTGAAGAAAATAGAAGTATAATATAGGTATTAATGATGACATTAACAAATTTTGATATTGTTAATAAAAACAACAAATAATTAAGGGGAAATATTTTGTGCATATAATTGTTTTCCTGTCAACTTTTTATGACTGATTTATTAATATAGTGATTATTATATATTAGGTATATTTGTTATTATTAGTATTAAATGCATGTTTAAAAGTAATAATCTCTAGTGTCATAGAAAAAAATAAACAAATGACATACCAGCAATAAAGAAGTCAAGATGATTGTGAAAGGACTCCAGTGATGTTGAGCCTGTGGAGCAGTGGTAGACCGGAAGATCTATACCACCCTTCACTGTGGTGCCAGTTTTAGTGTACAGCTGCACACCCTCTGGATCTTGAATGCAGGCAGTGTGCTTCTGCTGTGACTCCCATATGGTCCATATGCGGTCACAGTCAAGCAGTGGCACACCTAGGGTGTCATTCCCTTGTGGCCCAGAGAATGCCTCAAGCAAGTTGGAAATGAGGATGGTGGTCACTTGTATCCCATGTGTTTTACGCCTGACGTGGAGGGACAGCTCCTTTTTTGTGATACGTTGCATGGTGTCCTCATCCGATGAGTTTTGGACACTGGACTTAGCAAGTTGGGCAGCCTTGGCTCTTGTCAGAAGGTTGAGATCCTCACCACTCCACTCAAAAATGCACTGAGACAGTCGATCCATAAAGGTACCACAGAGTGGGTGTAAATCTCTAGTGCACCCTGCCTCAAAACGCCGCATAAAGTGCCATGCATCAAGGCGCACGTTGAGTTCCTGCCAGGTTGTGAAGAGAGAACTGACCTTTTTCTCACCACAGGAGTCACGATCTGTGTATAGAAGTACTGGTGGGGGAACGCCAGCCACCTCATAGCCACGGATGATCCCAGTTGCCATAGGGCGGAGCCCGCTTCCCTCACTTGCTGTTAAGACGCTGTTAAGAACTTGGCCAAATTCATTTCCAATGTTGGTGACCCAAGCAGGTGTTCCAGCGGCAGCAGCACCAGCAAGCTTTTTAGTAACCTAGTACAAAGTTGAAAAAGATAACTGATACAGTAATTATTATAACAATTGCTTGAGTAACAAGAGGAATATTTTTTGAGCTGGGCAGAGGGGGGGGTACTATACGGGGTACTTGGTATGTCATATTCATGATATGTCGGTGTTTCCAAAGAAAAGATTACTATTGATATAAAGGCTTAAGGTGACTTGGTAATTTATCTGTTTATAATATTTTACCTTTGTGGAATCAATCTTCAGTACACTCCCGAATGTTGACGTGATATAAGGCCTCACTTCCTCAAGCCGTGACAGCACATCGCTACAGTAAACTGTAAGAAGCCAGCCTGCTTTTGGAAGGGTAAGAAGAGATGGTGGCTCATCAAGCTCTGGGGCCAGGACCAGTTGTCGTTTGCTAGCCTCCACAAATGTTTGACAATCTATCAAATAATGGGCAGTACGTTGTAGCCACTGTTCTTTATGCTGTTCCGTCTGTTTCTTCTGCAACTGAGTTGAGCTATTTCCAAAACCACGTTGTCTTAGCAATCTCACTACTCTCATGTCACAGGCATAGTTGTAGGTGATGATGATAGGAAACTGCTTCCTGTGACCCACATCTAACTGATCAAGGATACCCTGACTCCAGCTAATAACTTTCCTCTTGCACTTCCCACACTCAAGATACTCGGTTGCCAAGGAGTAGAAGCCATCCAGGTCAAGCACCTGTCTAACATGAGGGTACAGGCCTGCACTGGTAAGAGGGTGCTTGACACAATCATCATGTGGACAAAGCAACAACACTTGCCATAGTTTTCTTGGCATCCATAGTAGGAGGCGCCGTGTAAAGTAAGTGTTTACAGTGGGACGCTGATGCACCCTTAACGACGGCTGGGGTGGATACCACCAAAGCTTGTTTATCTTTGACATGTCAAGCTCTGCTTTGTCTTTAATGGTAGACTGTTTAAAAAGTGCCTTGGAAACCCACATGTGATCTTCTTTGGGTAGGCTCTTTTTCCATCCTTCAGGCAAGGGGTAATCTGTGTATGAAATTGATTTTCTTATTAGTTTATTATTATTATTATTATTATTTATTTTAATTATTCTGGTTTTTATTATGATGATGATGATGATTATTACTGTTATCATTAGTCCTTATTCGTTATCATTATCATTATTATTATTAGCTATTTTTATCATATTTGACTATATTTATATATCAATACATGATAAATAACTTTTCATTGCATGATTAATGTAAATTATTAGGGAGTAAGAGGGGGAGGAATTTCAAAAATATGTTGGAAATCACTCGTTTAAAGACAGCAGTTTTCGAATATTTACCTTCAGATGCACCAACTCGTTTCTCTTCTGTTTGAGGTTTTGGAGTAGTTTTTGGAACAACAGATGAGCTATCTATGGCATTAGCTGCAGACAACAACAGTTCATCGGAAACACTGTTCGTGTCCTCTGGGATTCTCAGTTGAGTGTCAGTGGGAAATGTTGCCTTAACAGATTTGCCTAAACAATGAAAAAAAAAAATGAAGAAAATTATTGACTTGATTACTCTTATATATTCAAGGGACTTAATGTACAACAATTAAGTGACTTGATCAACTATATTCGATATACGGTTACATTTCTCAACTGTCTTTCAACAAGTCTTTCGCTACCTTTTTTTTGGTTGAGTTCTTTTGGAAAAAAGTCTGAGAACAGAGAGATGTTTAATTAGAAAGAGAGAGAAGGTGGGGTGGGGTTAGGTAAGTGTCTTATTAAAAAGGTGTTGATAAGTATAGCCTGTTGGTGTTTTCGATCACTGTAGCGTAACAAAAGAGCGATTACTTGACCTTGAATAGTTCGATGTAACCGCTTTGCAGTTTCTTGCGGGGATAACGAACTTCGTCCAACAAGCAAAGCCACAGCAGTTGTATTAGACGTTCGCGTCGATGTCTGCCTTGTAGTTGAGCTTGAAGTCGAAGTTGACAAAGCCGTTTGTTCTTTTGCCTTTTCTTTCTTGAACGCCAAGGCCTCTCTACCTTCAGGGAAGGACTTAAAATATTCCGCAAATGAAAGCTTATTTACAGACAAGGGTGAACTCGTAGCTGTCTCGCTCAACATGCTGTTCACAATCCATGCTACGTATCCCAGACCATTTTCTAAGAGCCATTTGAAAGTCTTGCCCTTGAATCTGCCAAACTGAAGTTTAAATTGGCCAAGAAGATCGGTTTCATTGCTCGGATTTCCACCAAGTTGTGTCACCTCACTCTTGGCTTTGGCTTCTACCTCACCTGGCTTCTTTGAAATGTACGACGTATCGGCAGTCTGAGGAGTTTTAATTAATTTGTTTGTCTCTTCCGAATAACCAAGGCGCAGCTCTGCTCTACCAGCCACAGTCACTCGGGAAAAACGTGGTTTCAAACTCTAAAGCACGACATAAAAGCAGATATCAGAAGACACTCATAACAATTGAGATTATGGAAATTAAACTTAACTTTATTTTACAAGTGAACCACGACGAACCGGTCTGCTAACTACAGACAATGCATGTATATTACAAGGGACCGATGTACACTGCAGAAAGCGATGTAAACAACAACCAAGATAATTGAGTGATTAGGCGAGCTGTAGACCTGCATTATAATTCGGTGAATGGACGATTTCTTCTCTTCGAGTTGAAAAGGTGAGCAGCATATTGATTTTTGGAACTTGCCATCATTTTCGGTATTCTTCTTGGTAATTACGTATAATTTTGTTTCCTTTGTTCCTTGTGCAAATGCTCGTGTGCTGGTGATTATTCAGTACAGTACAACGTAACACTGCGCTACTGTAACTTGCTTTCTTTGATGTTTCACCTGATGCAAGGGATTATATTGAAGAAAATAACTGAGAGACTTTATTTATACTATTCTTTGAAGTAAAAATCACGTTCCTCTCTAGGTGTGTACTGTAAATTAAATAAACTCCCACATAAAACTACGTGCAGGATATGACTAATACTGACTTGAGAAATACGTAGTGACTAAAGGTTAAAAAATATTCTCTTTTGGTTAAATACGTGTATTCTGGAAAATATAATATTATCCATTGTGGAAAAAAGTTTATGTTGGGGAGATGGGGATTTTAATCTTTCTAGTGTTTTTGGGTATGGTAATGTATGGAAATTATTTTTAAACAAAAGCAAAATAAAAATAAACTGTAATAAAAAATGAACTGAAACATATATGTTACAGGTCAAATTTGATTTCAGGTTAAAATTTTTAACCTAGATAGATCCCCAATTTCCTTTTTCTTCTGGGGCTAGGAGAGAAATGAAATCAGCAATCAACCTAGGTTAAATCAAAATACACCTAAAATCAAATTTCACCTGTAACATATATGTAAATTTCATGACTTCCGAAGGGAAAGTAAAGGAAATTGATTCCTAAGTATTTGCTAAATCTTGATCTTGGACTGTTATGCAAGTACTTCTAATTTACAGAGGAGCTATATGAAAATCCACTCACCAGGGATAAATCTTGCTAAGTGAAGGTGGAAACTCTCCAGTGAAGTGGACCCACGCGCACATCTCAGTACTGGAAGTCTGACACCACCTTTGTTTACATAGCCAGTAACAGTGTATAATTGCACTCCAGGGGGATCCTGTATACAGGGCAGGTGCTTCTTCTGCTCTGGCCACACCGTTGTTAGCATTTCATCCCTGAATAACGGCACTCCAAGGGCATCTGTAGCAGTGGACATGCTGGAAAAGAGAGAGTCCAGGAGTTTACAAGTCTCCTCAACCCCTCTTGTTTGCCGTCTGCAGTGACGTGCCATCTCTTCCTTTGTTACAGCCTTTCTTACGGCGTCTTTGGATGGATTCACAACACCTGCCTTCTGCAACTCCCCCCGTTTAGCCCTATACAACAGAGAAACATCATCTGCATCCCACTCGAAAATACACCTTGCCAATCCAGCCATAAACACACAATACAAAGGGTGACTTTCACCATTACACCCGGCAGCAAGACGTCTCATAAAATGGAAGATATCAAGGCGGACATCCAGGTTGGCCCAACTACTAAGCAAAGAATGGAATCTGGACTGACCCTCCTGATAACCACAACAATCCCGGTCTGTATACAAAACCTGAGCTGGTTCCACACCTGCTTCTCCATACCTCTTAACCAGGCCATCAGCCATAGCCTTCAGGAAAGCTGTACTTTCTGAAGCCGTTAACACAGAAATGACAACCTCACCTTTCTCATTTCCATCATTGGTTACCCAGTTAGCACTTTCTGCCTCAACACCCTGCAGCTTCCTGGTAATTTTCTTTGTTGAATCGATTTTTAAAATCTTGCCATAAATGGACGTTGCTGCCGCCTTAAGGAGGTCAAGTTGGCTATGGACGTCACGTACATAACACGCCAGGAACCATTTTGCACTTGGAATACTTTTCATTGGCTTCTCTTCTGGGTAATGAACTGGTGGCATGTTGAACGGTGCATGGGTCACCTTGTGGCGCTTGCAATTTGCCAAGTATGAGATGGTCTTTCTCATCCAATCTTCACTGTGCAATTCCTTGATCTTTTTTTGAAGTGCTGTGGAACTGTTCTCCAGTGAACGTGCCCGCAGCATGGAAACCACAGATACATCACATGCATATTTGTATGTAAGTACCACAGGGAAACGCGACACAACATCAACTGGCAGCTGTTGAAGAAGTCTCCGGTCCCAGGCAATGTATGTGCCGTTATATCCTTTGTAAGAATGATATTCTGCTGCCAGATAATAGAAATCTTTAATGTCTAGGACCATTCTCACCCTGGTATACAACCCCTTGGACATAAACGATCGATGAGGATCAGTGCATCGTGGACACTTGAGGTCCTCACCCCACATCCGCTTGGGCATCCACAGAAAAAGGCGTCGCAGGAAATAGTCCTCTGGACAGGGAACTGCGTTAGTATTGGGTGCGGGGGTAGGAGGAGGGTACCACGAAGACTTCAGCTGCGCTGTCAGAGCACCTTTGGAGTTGCAATCCAATGTCTTGCCAATCCAACGCTGATCCTTATATGCCATATTTTTCCTCCACTCACCAGGTAAACGCAGAGGGTAATCTGTGGGTTGTCTTTCTTTTGAAGTCTGTAACAATAGAAGTATGCAACTAGAGATTTGGTGTAGTTCAGGGAGTTCAGGGTAATGTAGTTACAACAGGCAATGTCTCATGCAGCGTAATGTTAACTTTAAGATTTTGCTAAGGTCGTTTAATACACTAGTCCATGTATCTGCCTTTCGGTTTCCATACATAAAATCAGTTACCTCAGGAGTTTAGTTGAGAGTGATGCCCCCTCTGAGGTCCTTTTACTTGACGTTGCCACCTGTTGAACCTCAGGTTGTGCAGTTGATGTAACACTTGGCAGCCCAGAAGTGACAGAATGACAGTCACTCACTTCCTCCTTCAAAAAAAGAAAAAAACATATAGGTATTTTACTTTTAAAAAAACCCTGCACGCACAAAAGTTAATATTTTCATAAAACTAGAAATCATAACAAAGAAACCTGTTACACAATCATACGTGCTCACAAGAAACCAAGTTTTTTTCTACATCCTCAAGGCAAGATACCAATACTCTGCCATCGTCACTCTAAAGCAAAATACACACAAAACAATAATATTAACTCTATGATAAATTTTGTGTCAACACCTATTTTACTTAAAAAGTTTTCTTTACAACATTATTAAATGCTGTAGAAATATACAAGAACAAAGCATTTAGTCATGGATAGATTGAACTCTATCATGAAGCTTTTTAATTACAAGATAACCCTTCAAGCTAGAAAACACTTAGTGAAAGAAATACTGCACCTATTGCGTTGAGAAACTTACTGGGATAGCTGTCTTTTCTGCATTTGTTGTAGGGAGCCCCTAAAATGTCTCCGGCGACGCCCTGCAGAGATGGTAAGCTGAGAGTCACTTGACTTCTCCTTATCCTGAAAGTAAATGAGACTATCAGAAAAGCTTGCACTTCAATATATTTATTTCAGGTCTCAAATAATAATTGTCAGTTGATGGTAGGTACCCTATTGGCCAATGCTTTTAGTTCTGCTACATGTACATGTCGTTATTTTTTGTAATCAGTGAACATACAGTATCTTTGAGCTGAGCTAGCCAATAACTTTTGCATTCATTTTCTTGGGGTGCGATATAATCTTACCAATCCCTTTCACTAACTCTGCTAAATACTTTTAACATGTTCAGAAAAAGTATTCTGCTCTATAAATTTCAGACAATATGACAAACACCATAACATGTCTAATTCATCACCTCTTGAGCTGAAGCAGATAAGCTACTACTCACTGAAGTTACAGTTTCCTACAAGTGTCACAAAAAATTATATTAATTTTTAGTCACCATTTTACCAATCAGTATTTGTCTTTAATGTTGTAAAAAACAAACACATTGACAAATGTGAAAATAAAATAATATCAAAACAGATGCTCCAAAAATTAGAAAATGCTGTGATCTAGTTGGCTGATTTTTTATCAACATAATTCAAAACAATCGCTTTGACACTCACATTAACCGAATGAAAGCCACATTTACAAGTAGTCGGGTTCCCAAATATGTCCATGCGTGCCTTTTTCACAGGACATGAATCAATTGATGTTTTCCTCTTTTCCCACTGAGAATTTGAGAAGGGGCATTTCCACGGCCAAACACATACTCTCCCTTGGTGTACAAACGTAGTCTCTTCACCCACTCTGCATGGGGAAGAACCTCCTTCGGCATGGTTGTCACACACTGGCAGTAAAAATTATGTACATATATTATTAGCAAGCTTCTACTGGTATCCTATCCCTACAAAATCTGGAATTATGATTGCCTCAGTTGAAAACACTATCTGTTAACTTGTAGATGGTACATGAAGAAAAATTGAGTTTTAAAACTGCATTATTAGAAAAAACAATCCAACCATATTGTAGACAACAGTATTTAATTTAATTTTCAAGTCAAAGCATAACCGTAAGCTTGATACTTAACATTTCAGTCAAGAAAAGGCCTTACCGTCTTAGAATGTCCCTAGGCATAATTTGCTGGTTTTTCAGTATAAAATGCATTGGCGACTTTTTGGAGCAGACTGCTGTACGTATTTTGTCTCCACGGTACTGGAGCTCCTGCTAGAGACTGTGAAGTTTGTGGTATAAACAATATACCATGCTAAACATGTGATTTACCTGCAATGTTCCTCCTTTGTCATGTTACTGCAAATTTAAACTGCTCCTAGGGCTCAAAGTTTATTTTTGGCTTTGGGAGCACTTGCGCTACCAGTTGTAAACTTCTAGGCACACTGCCAAAATTCTAGGCGCACAGCAAAACATTTTAAAAGCACACCTTAAAATACTGGTGGCACCAAAAAAAAAATGAGAAAGCTTAGACGCTGTATAAGTAATAATTTATTTGCATGTTATCTTTTATTTTGAACGAATCTGTGTTTGTTCCTACCTTCAGGCTATTACTCTACATTGGAGATGACAATAATACTGATACGTTTTTTTAAAATTAACCTCATCAATCTCAAGAAGTATTACACTTCATGGTACGTTCAAGGCAACAGAAAAATTCCGCATTCATTTCCTTTGAAATGAACGTGAATAACTAAGAAAATATACACTGCCAGTTTACTGCTCACGACTTTCATTTGATTTGTAGTACACTTGTAATACTCACTAAAACGGGTGGCTTTCCTGTTTTTCAAGCTGGTGTGCTAACCAATGAAGAAAGCGTTTTGTTTTAGGACCAGATGAGGAAGTCTGTGATGCACAGCTGTCTATAGAGGGAAGGGACGATGGGTATTGGGCTTTGCTAAATCGTTTGATGATTCTTCCATTCGCTGAAGGGAAAGACATATTGGAGAGAGTGAAAACAAACAAAGATTTCTCCACTCCTTTTCCTCGTCACTTTTTTATGCTCTGTTTTTCAGTGAAGATCCTCTTAAAGGACAGTTCCAAATACAGGCAAAGCTAAGGTCTTAGTTGATATCTCTTCTCATACATGACGTTAAATTTGTATAACAGCTGATGAGATGACAAAGAGCTTTGATGTTAC